TAAAAGAAATGTATTACCATAAAGTGTGACTCGGCTACTGTTGTTGGCTTGTTAAACTGCTTAATTATCGGTGACGAACCCGTTCGAGTACACGGTCTTGGAGAACCATTTATTGGTCGGCGATTGTCGTTATTTGAAGACCTTGTGAAGGAGTGCGGTATACAATTAAAACTTTTCCTTGTAAAGTCAGTAGAAAATAAATCCGATGCTCTTACGAGGGCACCACAGAATTGGCTGCTGATGTTTATCGGTGGATCCTGCGCCAATTAGATAGGAAGAAAAAAATCTTGAAGTTGGAAAGAGCTGGTACCGTTTAGCAATTGACGTTACCCACTATAAATCAGATATTTATTTGTCTATCATTGGCAAAAGAAGCAAGTTTGCAATTTGGAGGAAGCTACAGAACGAAAAAGAAACAAAAGTATGCTTCCATTTAGACGAAATATTCCGAGAAAGAGGACCTCCATGGCAAGTTTATCTTGAAAATTGCAAGACCTTTCGCTCAAAACTCGATGGCGCTATGCGCAGAATGGGGAGTGTCCATCCTGTTTTGTTGCGCTTATAAGCCATCTGAAAATGGAATTGTTGAACGTCATCATCGCACAATCAAGCGTATGGCAGCCAGATGTGCTAAAGACCCGTTGAAAATGGTATATTGGTATAACGTGGCTCGCAGAAAAAATGGCAAGAAAACATCGCTCCCCTACAAAGCTATATTTTCCTATGAGTGAAAACCACACACCATTTCTGCCAAAACTAACGAGGAAGTTCTCCACAACTATACACAAGGGCAAGAAGTATTTTTGACTCAAAATTTACGAGCAAATGGAACAGAGGAAGAGCCTCAGATGAAGGACGAGAAGTTTCGGTAGAAATTAATGGATTGCCGAGTCACATGTCGGGCGTATGTCCAGCTCCCAATGTAGCTGACTTGTCTACATTGGATCTCTATCGTTTGCAGTTGGCAAATTTCGGAAAATAAGGACCTTTTTTTTTTTAAGATAACTTAGTAGGCAAAAAAACTTTTTTTTTTTGCTTTAGTCGGCAAAAGTCAGACACAATACCCCCCCCCCTCCTTTAAAATTTCTTTTGGACAGCCCTGGCAACAATGCGCAATAAATTTGTCAGTGCACAGTAATAAACATTGATATATTGACATTGAAATAGTGTTTGAGATAAAGAATTTTTTTAAATATTTTAAAATAGTGTTTAAGAATAAGTGTGTTTAAAATAATAATTATTTCTATTTTTACTTATTTTTTATTATTTTTTCATTTTTGGGACTTTTCTGCTTTTATTTGTGGTAAACACATAACCTATCTAATGCAAATGCTCTACTGTTCTAATAATATATATATATACCTACAGCTCCTCAGTTGCTTTCTTAAAAGTCATGATTTAAGACCGGTTTTTTATTTAAATGGGTGTCTCAACCAAAGAAGTGTAGACGTATCTAACCTTTAGAATTGCCTCGTTCCCACCAAAATGTCTTAATCCGGCCATGCTTCTTCTAAAATATGGTTTCAACTTAGTAAACTTTTATGATTTGAAATTTATTTTATTTATCGTTAACCAACAGTTGAGGAAAAGGTTGTTGTATTGCTGAATTGTTTAAACGATCAATTAAAAAGTTATATATAGTTTTTTTTTGTTGTTAATATTATGTAACAAATGATTTGACTTTATTAACCGGAAAGTTTTGTAAAATTCCGTAAAAAATAATTCTTTTGAAAGGATATTGATAAGAGATCGTAAATTTAGGCAACGCAATACATAAATTAGAAAAAATATATTTAAAAAACAGATGTAGGAGATATTAAACTCTTTTACGAGCGAATTTTCAATAAACTTGAATGCGCTACTTTCATTCTTTTTTTAAATTATGACTCTGCGAGGGAAAACTTCTGATCTTTTTTGTTTCGTTTATTGTGAAAGTTTGCGTTACGTAATTTATGGACGATTCCTAACGAGAAATTAACTTTTTTCGAACTGAAATTAACAAAACATTTAAAATCGACAATGTTCATTCCACAAGTATTCAAATGTTTTTCAGAAAAAATAAACATAACACATATAACACTAAAGAAAATTTAAGGCAACTAAATCATGTTTATAAGATTATGTAGATGCAAATACTTAAAAAATTTTAACCGATTTCTAAATAAAGAACAAAATTCCTCAAAACTGACTGAAATGTGTCAAATGCCCGACTAACCGACAATAATCCTCAAAAAACCGACTATAAATTCAAAATCGCCTTCTTTCGGGGGGAGGAGAAGGAAAGAGGGGATTTAACACCGTAGATTCGCCCTTGGTTTGGTGATCGCTAATTTGCGTGAAACTCTCTCTCTCTCTCTCTCTCTCTCTCTCTCTCTCTCTCTCTCTATATATATATATATATATATATATATATATATATATATATATATATATATATATATATATATGTAATCTTAGTGTATTCTACAAATAGAGTGCTCAATGTTATTATATGTGCTTAATGTTTATATATAAATATATATATATAAATATAATATATATATATATATATATATATATATATATATATATATATATATATATATATATATATATATATATAATGTTAGTGTATTCTACAAATAGAGTGCTCAATGTTCTTAAAGAACAGAGCAATAATAATTTAGTAAAAACACTTATCTAATTTTTGTGCTCTTCTTGAAGAGCACTAAAATTAGACAAGTGTTTTTACTAAATTATATATATATATATATATATATATATATATATATATATATATATATATATATATATATATATATATATATATATATATATATATATATATATATATATATATATATATATATATATATAAATATTTATATATATATATTTATATTTGTGTGCGCGCGCGTGTGTGTGTGTGTAAATTTTCGCTTATATAAATTCCGTAATAAAATTTGAAATACGGTAGATTAAAGGTGAAATGCAAGAAGCGAACTTGACTTGAACTTTATATTGCAACCAATAGCGACAGAGTATGGGTTTTTCCCTCAAAAAATACTCTGTCGCTATTGGTTATAAAGTAAAGTTCAAGTCGAACTTGACTCAAGTTTGCTTCTTGCATTCCACCCTAAGATGCGAAATTTTAACAAGTCTTGTATTTCGGCGAACGACAACACATATTTTATTTCTTAGAGTATGGCTAGATTAAAACATTATAAGGGGGTAAAATACTGGTAAAGATCAAACAGATGCATAGAACCTTTTATGTCAATTTGATTAATGTAAAAAAGTTTACATGTATATCTAAGTTTAAAACCTAGTTTTCTCAAATTTTTACATATATCAAGCAGATTTAAAAAGCTTACCTTAATCAGAAAAAAATTTAAATAAAACCGTTAACTGTTTCCTCCTTTACTTGAACTCTACCATGCTTTACATTGTCAGCAACACTTTTTGTCAGACAGTATCTCTTTAAGACCAAACCCAATCTACCCATTTGATTTTTTTAAATACAAAATTAAATATATTTGAACTGAGAGTCAGTTATCTGAATTTTTTGCATTAACATTCAACTAGAATGTCCATAAAATCACTATGCACATTCTAGTCAAGTCGTATAAGTATTACTTTGTAATCGAGGCAGTCGTATTAATAACTTTCTGAACAAATAAACTTTCTGTTGAACTATTAAATCTGATACGTCTAGCATGAATTTGATCTACAATATTTTACTTTTTTATGTTTCTAATAGTATGCTGTAAGCATTTTAGTTTTGTTAGTATTCTTTTAGCTTGTTTACCGTAAATCTATCTTTTTTTTACAGCTGTTTCTAGGTCTTCTTGTGTTTAACTTGTTTTATAACCTTGAAAAGTTGCTTTATTTAGTAATTACGAGGTATAGTTCTATGGGCCGGCGCGAGTAGGTGTCACGTGGGGGGGGGGGGGGGATGCCATTACAACTTTTGCTAACTTAAAAAAAAAAAATTGTTCTTGTTTTTTTTAAATTTACCGACTGCCATTACGACATTTGCCGACTGACTGTCTAAATTTACCGACTAACTTGTCGAAAGGGTCTACATTTGCCGACTAACTAGTCAAAAAGGATAAAATTTGCCGAGTAAATGAACGAAAAAATCATTGATGGGGGGGGGGGGGGGGCACACCCCCATCGCGCCAGCCTTGATAGTTCCTCTAAAACTAGAAAAAAAAACTTAAACTCTTGGTAAAATAGTGTCACTTTAAAATTAGGAAACAACCAGATGCAGAAAAGCTTTACCCTAAATTCTAGCTATGTTAGAACAATACTTAAACTTGATGTTCAGGTACTTATTGCTGATGCGCTTTTTGAGAGGTTGTTTGATAATTCATCTTACTGCCCGAACCATGTAACTCTTTATAGTATTAAAAATTAGCTTCTGTTACTATATTTAAAGACTTTGGTGAATATTTAGCTCAATTAATTGTGTTGCTTCACCATTTAGTAAACTTGGTATTATTATTATTATTATTATTATTATTTAGTAAACTTGGTACTGATATAATTTGTACAGTTGCTGGCCGTGTCAGATTTTTAAAAACAACTCTTTTTTCAGCCATCTTGATTTAAAAAAAAAAAAAAAAAAGATAACAATAGTCCCATTTTATGCGGGATACGACTTTTACTATGGCTTTTAAGCGAAATGGCTATACTATGTACTATGGCTTAGCGATAATTTAAAATATATACTTGAACCTGAATAATCTTTGGAAATTTTAATTTTTATGTTATAAAGCTTAAAATTCTGTAAACATAAGATTTAAAAGCTCTTATAATTTTATAAAATAATATATGATAAATTGTATATGAATTGTTTATTTCTATGTTTCAAATCGTACGCCCGTAGTTAAAGTTTAATTGATGTTAAAGAGAATTTTTTAAAGTTGCATATAACTTATCCTCAATTATGTAAATTAATTTAAGCTTTTTCGCTATTTTGAGATTATAAAGTATTTTTACAATCAGAAATTAAATAACTTTATTAGTTCAATTATTTTTTAGGGAATCTTAATAATGAGCAACTATGAATTAATTGCTAATCAACCGGTGGTTATTGATAATGGTTCAGGCGTTATAAAAGCTGGTTTTGCTGGGGACCAAATTCCAAAATGCCATTTTTCATCATATATTGGTCGACCCAAACATGTTCGTGTCATGGCTGGTGCACTGGAAGGAGACATATTTATAGGACCTAAAGCTGAGGATTATCGTGGTTTGCTAAACATTAAATATCCAATGGAACATGGAATTGTTCATGATTGGAATGATATGGAAAAGATTTGGCAGTATATATACTCAAAAGAACAGCTATCTACTTTTTCTGAAGAACATCCAGTACTGCTTACAGAAGCTCCATTGAATCCTCGTAGAAACAGAGAGAAAGCTGCTGAGATTTTCTTTGAAACTTTTAATGTTCCAGCTTTGTTTGTATCTATGCAAGCTGTGTTAAGTCTTTATGCAACAGGTCGTACAACTGGTGTTGTCTTAGATTGTGGAGATGGTGTTACACATTCTGTACCAATATTTGAGGGTTTTGCTTTACCAAACTCTATAATGAGAACAGATTTAGCTGGACGAGATGTAACTAGATACCTTCAATTGCTATTAAAACGAGAAGGATTTTCTTTTAAAACGACAGCTGAGCGTGAGATCGTTAAGCAGATTAAAGAGCATGTTTGCTATTTAGCATTAAACCCACAAAAAGAAGAAGGTCTTGATGGAGAAAAAACACACTATGTTTTACCTGATGGAAGTACATTAGATATTGGAGCTGCTAAATTCCGAGCACCTGAACTTTTGTTTCGACCAGATTTAATTGGAGAAGAATTTGAGGGGTTACATGAAGTTTTAGAATTTGCAATTCAAAAATCTGACATGGATTTACGAAAAACTTTATATCAAAATATTGTTTTGTCTGGCGGATCAACTTTATTCAGGGGATTTGGTGACAGACTTCTTAGCGAAGTAAAAAAAGTAGCACCTAAAGATATAAAAATTAGAATATCCGCACCACAAGAACGACTCTATTCTACCTGGATTGGAGGATCTATTTTAGCTTCTTTAGATACATTTAAAAAGATGTGGGTTTCTAAAAAAGAATATGATGATGAGGGACCTAGATCAATCACCAGAAAAACTTTTTAATAAAATTTCCTTTAGGAATAAGCATTTGTTTTGTAACTGAAATTATAGATGATACTGAAACACTGTTGCAGTGTTATCTATATTATATTGTACCGCAACCAATATGGTTCTAAAGGTACCACAACATTTGGTTACTTTACAATTACTCTAATATGTATTATTTTTATTCTCCTGATTTTCATTAGTAATTTGTAAAGGCCAAAATTTAACTATATATTTTTATTCAATATTTAAATAAAGCCTAGGGAACTTTTCTCATTATTTTTGGTTTAATTAGTAAGTTTATCATGTATTACTACTTTTTTACTCATTGAAGAATATTTTTTTAATTTAAAAAGTTAGTCATGTGACAATTGTTTTTGTTAAAAACAGTGATGTAATAATTGATAACATGTGTAAATAATGTATGCCGGCCTAATATTTAATTTATGAATTTTTCAAACTTTTGCATCTTAAAGTGTTGTGGAATAAAAATCTAAATCTTTTAAAACTAAATACTTAGTTTTAATATTTTATTAATATTAGTTTATTAATAATATATTATTATTATATTATATAATATTAGTTTATCTTCTGTAATTGTTTAAAAACAGTAAATTAATATGAAAATCCTCTCCATTTCTTACACTTGAAGTGTATTTTGTGGTTTGGATTTAAAAAGACAAAATTCAGTTTATAAAATCTCCCAACTACAATAACTACAAACCTTTTGTTGTAAAAAGGAAGTAGACAACTTTTAAATACAAATCCACTTTATAAAAGTTGGATGGGTGGTCTTAACCCTGAAATCTCAAAAGATTAATTTTTTTTTTGTTAATAAAAGTTTATTTGTTGTTATAACTACTTAAGATTGTTCTGTTTTTTAAAACATACACATATACACACACACATATGTGTGTGTGTCTGTGTGTGTACTTTTTTCTCTCTGTCTACCCACATTTTTTTGACTTAATACTGAAATAGGGATAAACGAGGTCTGCTACTAATTATCTTTTGAATTATTTTTTTTTGCATTTTGATTTCTGGATGTAGGTTTTATATTATTATTAGTAATATTTTTTACTTCTTTATTATTAGTTCATTTTCTTATTGTTAATGACACATATATATATATATATATATATATATATATATATATATATATATATATATATATATATATATATATATATATATATATATATATATATATATATATAATGCAAAAAATACTGTTTTTATAATTAGGGAAGTATTTTTAATATTTATCAATATTTATCTATTTTTTATCTATTAATTGACATAATTATGGGTTCCAAAAATTTTTTTGAATATTTGTTTTTTAGACAAAATAGTATGTTTAAACCAAAACCTGGGCAAATAATCAAAGATCCTTGGGCACGTTTTGAAGCCTGGCGTTATCATCCTAGATTTAATCAGAGAAGTGCTTTTTTAAATATGATTCCAGGATTTACATTGGGTTTTGGAGCATTTGTTGTTGCCATTGTTATTGAGAAGATTTTTGAAAAAAAAGAAGATTCTCACCATCACCATTGAATCATTAATGGTGAAAACATTTAAAATAGTTGTATTAAAGGATTTAGAATCTGCAGAATCATTCTGCATTTTACTTAAAAAAATATTTAGTATAAAATAAGAAAATATACTGGAGTTTTTTGTTACCTAGTTTTTTAATTCAGAGAAATCAGTACAGTTTGCTAGAACTAATCAATGGGAAAGTGTGAATGAAGTGGGAATTTTGTTTTATGATTAGATTATTTTATAGTTTGTGTTTCATGATTCAGTTGTTTATTCATTAATTTATATGACATTACAAAAATACAAACATAAATCTGTTGTTAGTTATATTGCTCGCTATTAATGCATAAAATAATAAATTGAAAAATTGTTAAAACATCAAAAATTTATATGCGGTGATATGCATCAAAATGTATTTTTTAGAATTTCAAATTTTGAAGGAGAAATCATTTATATGATTAAACATTAAATTAATCATATGAAAAATTATTTTTTTCGTTTTGCCATACGCACCAATTTTTTGCTGTATATAACAAAATGTATTGCCAATTTTATGATATCCGTTTTAATATCAAAATGGATCACTCATTTGAATTTTTGGTAACCATTTCTTTTTGCAGCAAAAGAGTTTTTACCTAGATGAAGGGTGATGTCATCAAAATACCTTTATCTAGTTTTTTTCTTGGTAAATAAATAAGCGTGGTGGTTTAATACATACATGGGCGGATCCAGCATTTTTGGCCTTTGCTAACTTTTAGACATGGAGCTGAAACTCCAAACATTTATGTTTATACTTATGTCGTAAAAGGATGCTTTGCAAAAAAATGCTATGATTGGAGCCTAGGAACAAAAAAGCCCCAAAATTTTCGCCCTTCCTGTCTCAAACGTGGGAGCAACAAGTTGATGAAATATTTTTTGTACTATTTTTAACTAGATTTATATTCATCGATAAATTTTAAATTTCATAGTAAAATATTTTAGCGTTCGAAAATTATGACCGCATAAAGTTTAAACCCCCCTCAATTTGAGGGGGTTCCAAATTTTATATGATCACAATTTTTGCACTCTGAAAAATTATACTATGAATTTTAAAATTTCTTGATGAATATAAGTTTAGTTGAAAAGAGTACAAAAAATATTTCATTAACTTGTTGCTCTCACGCTTGTTGCTGGAGGGGCAAAAATTTATGAAATCTTTATTTAATTAGTTGTTACACGAATTTAACATTAAACTAAATGCATAAAAAAAAACTTAAAACGTCTTAGATATTATGAAAAAAGTTGTAGCATTAAAAAAAATGAGTTCGTAAATCATTTCTAAAAAAAAAAAAAAAGTCGAGTCTTTTTAAGCATAGTCATTAAATACAATCTGTTATTATGACTATGTATTATCTAAGATATTAAAACTGGTAAATATTTTTCATAATAAAAAACGCTCTGTCCGTCCAACATTCTGGGCTTGTCAAAAATGTTGGACGGCCAGAGCGTTTTTTATTATGAAAAAAAGGGGCAGTCAAAATTGAGTCTTAAACTCGATGTAAATATATATATACATATATATATATATATATATATATATATATATATATATATATATATATATATATATATATATATATATATATATATACATATATATATATATATATATATATATATATATATATATATATATATATATATATATATATATATATATATATATATATATAAATAAATTAGTAGAAAATCACTTAGCAAAATTTTTTCTCATTTTGCTAAGTGATTTTCTACTAATTTGTAATTGCTCTGTTCTTTTAAGAACATTGAGCACTCTTTTTTTAGAATACATTTTAAATTGTTTAAATATATATATATATATATATATATATATATATATATATATATATATATATATATATATATATATATATATATATATATATATATATATATATATATATCCTTATAGTGTAGTCGAAAGAAACTTTTATGGTAAAAAAAAGTCTCTTTCGACTACAATTTTTATTACTTCGTCTCTTAAGCTGTATTTGATTGTCATCGAAATGTCAAAGCAATTAAATTAAAGCGGAAGTACATTAAATTTTATTGTTTTTTAAAAAAACCGCAATAATTATGACTGGAAATTTTTTTTTAATTAGTGGTGTTTTTGTTTTGTTAAAATCAATATATATATATATATATATATATATATATATATATATATATATATATATATATATATATATATATATATATATATATATATATATATATATATATATATATTATATATTAGGGCGAGCCAAATTTTTTGTCGAGCCGCCCCCTAGGATGATTCTATGGACAATCCTAAGCAACTTTGATGAGGGAACCATAGCTCTATTTCGATTTTCCAGTCTCCCACTTTTCAAAAAATGATTTTTTCCCTATAACATCATTTTGATTCAAAAATTTTGCTTTCAAGTCAACAACGTATTTATTAAAAAAACATCGGTAAAACATCATTACTGACATATTTTATGACAGAGCACAACAACAATGACATTTATGAGTGTTCAGCTCATTCGTGTTTGAGCATCATTTCAGTGAAAGTGAATTATAAATTTCCTGCCAGCGAATAATTTTGAAATTCAAAAAGAATTAAAAGGTATGTGTTAAAAATGTGTAATTTAATACACATAGACATCGATGTTGTTCTCTTGCTTAGGTACTTTTTTTCTGAAATATGTAATACAATGTAATGTATTTATATGTATAGTATGTAGGAATAATGTGCGTAGGAATAATATATTTGTATGAATGGCATGTCGGAATAATGTGTGTAGGAATAATGTATAGCATGTCGCCGAAAACCAAACTGGTCCTTAGGGGCGAAATGTCGTTAGACATTTCGCCAATTTCAGTTATTTTTTAATTCTTTTAGTAAAAGTATACAATGGATCCAAATGCATTGTCGTATACATCGCAAACCGCAACAACATCAACGAGTACCGAAAATCATTTGAAGCATTTGCCTTCGCACAATGTTGCTATTTTTGGTGCATCTTGTAATTTGAGTGGACTAAATCTGCCAACGAAACAGGATATTTTAAGATGTTTTTTTTTCTTGACCGAACTCCAAAACAAAATGTTTTCGTATAAAACATTCGTACCGCACGTAACAGGCAAATCGATTGAAATTTGGAGTCAACTTAATGTTGAAACTCTAACAAAAAAAATTGTTGTTAGAAAATTGGGTACATTGATTGAAAAGCATCAAATCGAAACTAAATATCCAAAAATCGCCACATTCAGAACGTTCGTGCAATCTACAAAAGAATTATTTTACATCGGCAAATATCAATGTGACTTGAAAGGCAGCATTATGCTTATGTAGATTGATTCCAGATCATTCGAAAGAGTTCATGCGAGATCAAAATAATGTCAGAAGATTGACGATACCGGAATTCGAAGAGCCAGCACCAACGTCAACAATAATATCAATAAGCGTTGAAGAGAGCCATTTAGCATATATGCTAATATTGAAGAGAGCCATTTAGCATATATGCTAATATTGAAGAGAGCCATTTA